ATAAATTTATATTCATTCCTCTTTATTAATTGTATCCAGGGAGATAGAATTGAACTTTTCGGATATGTTCCGAGAACGGAAATTGGAGAAAATTATGGAACGACAACGAAACGGGAACAGTTATTTTAAGAACTTTCTCGGAACAGTTCTGAAATGTTCCAAAAATATAAATTTAAATAAAAATTTTATTATAACTGTTTATAAAAATATTTAAAATGAATAGATAATATTGCAAAATTTGTCTTAAGAGGGTTTTTTGACACTTAAATTTATATTAGCACCACCGCGCAATGCCTTTGTTTCAGGTCCCTGTTTATATTTAATCTTCCATTATTAAGTCCGGGAATGATTACCAAAAGAAAATGAGGGCATAATTATAATTTTTCTTTTCGTAAACAAATGAATAGTTTTATTCTTTATTTTTCCTATTTTTTCTTGGCAGACATTCAAGCCCAAGATAAAGATAATATAGTAATAAAATGTAAGTATATAAATGGAAGAGATTAGAAGTAGAAGATAGAACTTCTTCCTAACCTAATTTATCTGGAACTATAGACTGGTAGCTTAGTGCATTCGTGGCAAGATATTATATAATAATAACCTAAAGAAAAAAACAATAAATTCCTATTAAAAACAACTTAGCTCACATTTATATCATATTTAATAACAATTACTAAACTAAAGCCCGCTACAAAATTGAAAACCAAATAGTTAATTTCTGCAAAATCAAACTGAATTTTATGTTTGTCATTTTACATGTTGATAAACGGGGGAATTCTCAACTGTTTGAGTTGATTTATTATAAGATATTGCATAAATTTTGTTAATTTTGCTCTGTTTATGACTAACTACGCTTTCGATATATTCAGTAGGGTTATTTTATAAATTTGCATTTTCGCCTCGACGCGTATATACAGTTTTATAATTTTCTCTTTGGAATTTTCTGTCTTACAAATATACTTATATCAAACATTGTATATTGGTAAAAAGGTGAAATGTGCCTTTTCGCATATTATCTGATAGACAAATACGACAAGATGGAGCTTTATGACATCCAGTTTTGACATAATCAATATTTATTATTGCATTTGAGATAATAAATACTTAAAAACAGGATAATTGTGTAAAGACTTTATGGATTCACCCTTATAACATGGAATAAGGGCACAAAATGTGTGGGGATTTTGCTTGCATTGATTTTTGCTCCCTCACACCAGAATCATGATTCGAAGGAATAGCTGAAAAGAAAAAATATAATAAATGCGCACATATAATATCAAATATTTTGAAAATCTTGTTCATTTGGAAATGAAGCTCGGAGTATGACTAACTATTTCCTATTTTTTCATTTATTTAATTATTGTGTCTTAAAATTTTTTATAGTATAGTTTTTTTATTGGAGTATTATTATTATTTACTCATCATTTGCATCTATAATTTACTATTTTATAAATGGATCTTTAAAAAAAAATATATATGATTGAAAACAAAATAAGAATAGGGATTGAAAATAACTAGTTAGATTATATTCAGACAAATGTGCAATGAAGCTTGCAATATGAATGGAAGCATTAATCAAATCCAAGCCTTGATTAAAATAATCATAAGCAGCATGCATTAAGAGCTAATGCCATTACCCCATTAATAATAATCGAATAAACTTAAATGGTAAGTTATAAAAAACCAAACAGTGGAAAATACCTGTGTTTCCTACTAATTGTATTAATATTCATAAAATATAAATTCTTTTTCGAATCAATTTTATAAAACCATAAATAGATTTAAAAAATATTGGTTAAAAGAGGGAGTTTTCTACGCAATCTGGCGCATTATTGGTTAAAAATGATCTAGAATATTACCTACATTTTTTTAATTATTTACACAAATTTTTTTTTGACAATTCATTGCAATTTAAATTATTTTATGTTAAAAGAAATGAAAAAATAGATTAAAGAGATCTAAAATTATTTAAACATTTTCGAACGGAAAAAAACATGTCAACTTTGCTTTTACTATAGTTTACACAAAGCAAGTATCATCAAACTATATTGCCTAATGTAAGTTATATGTCAAAAATTTACATTTTTATTTGTATTATTTTCATTTTCATATTACTTTGTTATAGTTTATTTGTTGATACTATTCCAAACCCGTTTCTGTTTTGAAGTTACAAAAAGATTTTACACCTTTTAACATAATTTTATAATAATTATCAAAATAAACTTTATTAAAAAAAATTATTTCATGACAAGTTATATAATGTTATAATAAAATTAAGGTTTAAAATATACTTTTTTTTATATTTTTACAGTTAACAAAATAATTTTTTTTTTCACATTTACGAAAATTTTAAAATCTGTGTTTTGTCCTGTTTAATAAACATATTATAGCATATAAAAAAAATATAGATATAATATTCGCATTGGGTTATGGAATTCATTGAGATTTCTGAATTCTCAATGTTAAATCCTTTGCTGAGAGCGATTTTTAAATCTGAAATTCTTATTTGACCTTAAATATATGCAGAATACTCACATTGTCGATTTCAGACAATGTGGCACTAAATCTGTCGAAATGCATTTAATTTATATCTGTTTTTATATAGATTTTTAATTAAATTGGAAAAATGACAAATGTTTATGGCCAAATTTGTATTTTATAGGGTGGGTAGTCTAAACAAGCTGGAATACATTTCCAGTGAAATCAGATTTTACAAATTCAAAAATCGCTTTCAAATGATATGAATTTGAGGGATACCGAAACCAGATGGATTCCATATTATACGACATATATGGAGATCTTATTCAATTTTCCAAAAATAAATGAGGGGGTGGAAAGGGGAATTGTATACTCGAATGTTATATTGGCGGTATCCAAATTTTTATATATCTTTGACTTGAATGAGATATTTAGGATGACAGATAGAGGATTAATCAATGATCAGAACTGTAACAAATATCGGTTCTGTTTAGATTCTGGTTCAGCTAAAAATAACAGTTTAAATTTTAGGATCAGTTCGTAAAATAATCTTATCGGTTCTGCAAAATATATCTAAAAGTAAAATCGTCTATGGTTGAGGCACTAAGTGTTAACTTGGGTAGTTAACACGTCAAATAGTTAATTACAAAAAGATTTAAAATGGTAGCTGATAATAACCAATCAAAATCGATTGATATCTTTAAAACAGCAAATATTAAAAGTCTCAACCCGGTTCATTAACCTTTCTAGAGGCTCAGTACAGATTCAAGTCAGTTAAACTTTCACCATTCAAATTCTGTTTAGGTTCAGTAAATAGGATAAATACCGATTTAGCGGTAGGGGTCAGGCTGGTAAGGACTTGTTTGGGTTTATGAAAAATATTGAACTATTCAGAATTTCTTGTATATTTCATAAGGTGGTTAATCTGATAATACAAAATGTCCCCGTTCATTGGCGTATCTAGGATTTTATTTTAAAGTTCCAGAGCCAAATCCCTTTAATGTGGGATGATGGCGCGTTATAGTGTGCATAAATTGAGCGTTGCAACGCTCCGTTTTAAAACTAATAATGCATTTAGATGGTAGAGGAAAAGTTGGATTTTTTTATGGCAAGCGTTAATAAAAAAGCAAACTTGTTTGATTTTTCTATACTTTTTTAATTTTGCGCTAAAATTTGAAAATGGATACAAAATTATAAGTATGATTTATTTCATATTTTAATTGATATTATATCATTTAGAATATATTAATTGATATTACATAATTTAGAATATATTTGATATTTATATAATTTTAGAATATATTAAATGATATTTTATATAATTTTCGAATATATTAATTTATATTTATATAATTTTAGGCTACATTAATTGATATTATTATAATTTTAAAAATTGAGATTATAAGGTTACTAAAAAATTTTGTACCTTAATGGACCGTAAGAATTCTATATTAGTATTAGATGGTTTATCATACATTAGTTTAAGGTAAATATGTATGAGGGCAAGGAATCAGGAGCTTCTGACGCTAAACTCTCATACAGATGGTATGATTATATTAAATTCATGGTGCCAACAATAAAGTAGAAACGCTACTGATTATACCACGTGTGGGAGATATTTATATTAATAGTGAAAAATAAAAATCTGAGTGAAAATATGTAGAGAAATTTAGAATTCTGTCGAAAGTTAGAGCTCAAAGGGGAAAGAGATGTAAATTTTAAAAGTGTTTGGTTTTCATAGAGAAGAACGGTATTTTAGCGACCAATCTGTGAAGGAATAATGATATATTTTGCACAAAAAAATATAACAACGACGAGGGATATAATGAGAGTGGAGTTATATTGGTTTCGAGTTTAGAAATGAGCGTTGTACCTTTTTAAAATAATGAAAATCATCGTGCGAGACAAATATTTAGAAATTTCAATGAATAGTGTGATAATGAATAACGAGAACAGTATATTAATGCGCTTAGGTATATTAATTTCTGTAGGAGCCAACATTATAAATTAACGAGAGTGAGCATTTTAAATTAACGAGTGCGAAAACTAATGTAGCGGCGAAAGTATAGAATAATATTACGAAATAACGTTGAATATAAATAAAAAAGAGAAAATGGCAAATGCTAGAAAAAATATTTTTATATGAATATGGTGCGAAGCTAAAATAGTTTTTTTCAAAATAATAAAGCGTTCGAGTTCACAAGGAGAGATAGCAATTTTTTAAAAAAAATAAACGTTGGAAAAAAAAGCCAAATGCGGTGCAAAAAAAAGGAGTGAGGTGAGTATTAATGGTTTAAAATAACAAATCGGAGGCGAAGGAGAAAATAATAAAACAAAATGAATAGGCTCCAAGAGAGAAAAATATATTCACTCGAGATTAAGATTTACGATAAATATTATGCGAGAAAAAATGTTCATTAAAATAAAGGGGGTGTCTTAAAAGGGCGATGATTTGCAAATAATATATCTAGGATGCTAAAATATTTTTTTTATAAGGAGAAAGATATTGAATTTTTTTTTACCTTTAATTTTGCAATAAAAACGTGAAGGAAAAGAGAATTGAAATGGTTGATAAAATAAATAATTTTTGGTGAGAAAAAAAAAATTAATTTGGAAAGTATTTTTGGTTATAATTAAGTAGCAATATAATTTCAAATTGGATAATATTATTAAATCATATGAGTTCATAGGTGACTGAAATTGAGTTTAGAACAAGAACTAAATAGGACAGCTGATATTTTAATTTATTGTGTGGAGACTATATATTAAATGATTTGGTGAATATTTAAAATGTATAGATTTTCGAAATGAAAGAAAAAATTAATTTATAAGTTGATTTATGAGACTATTAAATTATCCTTTAATTCTATATGCAGAAATTTATAATATAAGAAGTGGATTATATATTTTTTTTGATTTAAATGAGTCACCAAATATGTATAAGATATGAGCGGGGGAAATTTTAAGGAGAAAATTGGGGGACTCACTGGGGAAAGAGTAGACACAAATATGTATATGTGGGTTGAAATCAAAAAGGAAAGAAACATAAAAGAGTTTAAAATTTTTGTAAAAGTGTAATATATTCTGCTTGGATAATTTTCAATAAAGCGGTGAAGTCGAAAGGAAAGTGAATGTTAAATATAGTGATGGGATGCAGATCGATGATCATATGCGATGATTTTTTTTTGTTTAATAAAGAAAAAGGGCGGAATAGTGTTTATTTTTAAAAAAAAACCAAGAATTGATTGTGCTAATTAGATATAAATTATCAACTCACGGAAAGTGAAATTATGAGAAATATGGAAACTCGATGAGGACTATGGAGGCGAATCGTTAACGTTGGGTCCTAATATCCGATCATAAACGATCCAGCCAATGCTTACTTCAGCGAAAATAATGTAATTTTTAAAAGGAAACCACCATACGAACACTGATATTGGAAGGAGCATAAATTCTTATGTTAGTTTTTATGAAATATTATGGAATTCTATATTATGCAGATAAGGAATCGAAGGGTCAGAAGAAAAAAAAATATATTCTGGTAAATTTTAAATCATATTTTATAGTTAATAGATAATAATAGTTTGGAATTAATGAAAATTAGTAATTGAAATTTAAAATTTATAAAACTGAATTTTGACATGATTGAGAGAAACCACGATAAATTAGATTTCTAAAAGTATGTATACTCTAAAGTCACAACGGGGCGAACATTATGGGTGCCGTGAGCTCTATGTAGGGCATTGTCATCGCCTCGTTTGATTAATAAATAATTATATACATATATAAATATATAAAGAAAAAGTCATTGGTGAAAAAAATGAAAAATATTATTATTAAAAAATTAAATGATTATTTTTTTAATAAATATTTTTCTCTTCGATAAATTTAGATTCCTTTGTTTTATTGATGAAATTTTTTATACATTTGGGTTTTTAAATAAAATATTTAAAAAATTGTCAATTCTAATAGAAATAATTTTAAGAAGATAATATTTGTAATTGAGAGTAAGTAAGTAAGTTTTAAGAAATTAAGAGAATTCTATTAAAGAGTAAGTTGAGATCTGTTAGTGGCAGGCATGTTATATTATTATTTAAAATTATATTGGATACTAATGTTAATGTATTCGTATAAATATATTTATTTTTAAAAATTATTTAGTTTAATATTTATCGTATTTATAAATAGTCACCTGATTTTATATATCACGTGTAGAACTCGTGATTTCTTTGTCCCAAAAAAGTATAAAACGAGATTTTATAATTATAGCAACTTTTTATTTTTTTAATGTTTTTTTTGTGTATATATTTTTTTGGCCAATAAAATTTGCAGTTGAAAGTTTACTAATTTTAGTTTTAGAGTTGTGTTGGTAAATTGTGTGAGTTATAAAAGCGTTGTACTGTTACAAGCAGGCGCGTACGCAGGAATTTGGTCTGGGGGGGGGGATAATAAAATTTTTTTAAGAAATATTATTGTTTTTTAAAAATATCAAGAATAAATTTATTAGAACTAATCACTATTTCTAATACACAATTTTAAATGAATGTGAATTATAAAAAAATTATATGTATAAACCTTCATATAAAAAACTTTAAAATAAATGTGAATTAAATTAAACGAATAACTGGCGGTAAACTTTAAAATAAATGTGAATTATAAAATATAAAGTGAATATAACCACTATATGAATCAGACCCAAAATAGAAATTTGAATTTTTTGAGCCTTTAAAATTTATATATATAAAAAATTTAAATGTTGGAAATATAAATTAATACACAAAAAGTTGAATAATTGTATTTTGTATGTTATATATTTACATGTAAAATCCAATCTTCGTTGTGATTGAGCTAATTTTTCAATTATCTCATCCTTGCATGTCGTCAAATGCCTATGAATATTCAAAAGATCCAAACCTTTCAATCTACTCAGAGACCTGGGGCCGGACCGTATTTTAATTTTTTAAATATACCCGGGCCGGGCCCGAATTTTATTTTACAAAAACACCCGGGCGGGGACTGAAAATTTTTTAAAACCGGGCCGGGATGTATATTTTAAAACAGCCTATATTTGAAATCGTTATTATTAGCTATAAAAATCAAAAAGAAATATAATTTATTTTAAAAAAATCCAGGCCGGGCCTGAAAATTTTATTTAAAAAACCGGGGCGGTCCTAAATATTTTTTTAAAAAACCCAAACCGGGCCGTAAAAAATCATAAAAAAAATCCGGGCCGTGCCTTGCAATGGTACCTCTGCAGGGCTATTCTTCTTAAAAAAGAGAATGTTCTCTCATTCGTTTACTAATGTGAAGAGTTGCTAATATATATAAACCCTTTTAATACATTGGGAATATAATCTAAAATGTGTTTGAAATGCAAAGCATCCATGGCATTTTTTGGGAATATATCAACCATAGTTAATTTTATAAACATAGTTATTCAACTAATAAGGCATCATAAAATACTTTAACATCTTCATGATAAAAATCTAACAAATATTTTTTTTTCTATCACCATCTGAAAAAGGTTGGTAAGGCTTTTGTGGAAATAATATCTGCAGATTGGTAAGTGCTGTGTGATGAATTAAAAACCATTCATTTATTTGGGTTATAAGTATCTAAGAGAGGGGACATTTGTTTTATAATACTCTTCTACTAATCCTATATTAATGTTTTAACGAAGAGCTTGCCTTGCTGCAAGTCGAAGGAGACAAATATTAAACACGTAAAGCTCTGCTTTTGACTCAACAATAACATATAAAATATGAAATTCATCTTCAACATTAGCCCTAATTTCCTTGAATTCTAATAAAATGCTCTCCGATATTCTCATCTTCTTAATCAAGTCAATTTCATGTTTTTTAAAAGTATTACATATAATTGTATAATTAAATAATACATTCTAATGAGAAAAAAAATAATTTGGAATAAGCATTGAATCCAATAATTTTCTTGCTTCTGAGGAAATATTTCTTTCAGGGCATTGTGATATTTCAGTAATAGCAAATAGTCGGATCTTATAACTCCATAAAAGCTGTTACTGCTTGATGGCGAAGACTCTATTGCAATTTCTTTCTCCCTGTTGGTCAAGGAGTTTAAATAATTATTATTTGACTAGAAATTTGAAAATGGTAGATAAATATTACGCCGCTATAAATTTGAAAATAATAAGTAAATATTACGCCGGAAAACTTGAAATCGAATTTAATTGATAGAATAACTTAGTAGATGAATGTGATAAATAAATGTAATTAAATATTTAATATGAGATAGGAATAAGTATTAACAAATATAAATTAATAGAAACAATAATATTTTTGAAAAATATATCCGGCATCTGCATTTTTTGGCTTTGGGGGGGATTTGTCCTCCAGCCCCCCCTACCCCGCTGCGTACGCTCAGGTTACAAGATATTTAGTATATAACTTTCATGCCAAGCAAATTGTTAAAAAACGTGGGCCGAAGTTAAAAATGATTTAGCTGATAATTAGAAAAATTTATGTTTTTTTACTTTCATAAAAAATTATTGTAGGCAGGACAGGTCCGGGACAGCTTATATAAAATATATTTTACGAGCGGGGTAAAAAATACAGGTCGAGCCAAAATTTCCAAAGAAAACTTGCCGGGCCATACGACCTATCTTATGACAATATTTTATGAATTGGATCGAAATTTCATTTGTAAATTACCAAATAGTCCAACCTGTAATTTTTTTATATTAGAAATATTAAACTCAAATAAGGAAATAATTGCACAATATTAAAAAAAAATTATATGGAGTTATGGCTTATGGTGTACTAAAAACAAAAAAATAACTCATTTTCAATTTAAAATTTTTAAAAAAGTTTTTATAAAATATTTCTATTAAATTATTACTGGTAAAAATAAAATTTTAATTTCCTCAAGAGATATTTTTTGTAAAATGTAATTACACCGATAGTTAGTTAGATACTAAAATAATAAATTCCAAATAAACTTTTACCCTAAGGATTATAAAATCTATTTTTTAAAAATTATTATAAATTTTTTTAAAGAAAGAATTCGAATCAAACCGAACCAGAACAACGTCAGGAATTCTAAAGTGAAAACTAGCCGCTATAACAATAGATAGCGTCACCTTTAAAGTTACCCAATAAAATTTACAGGCCTGGATTGGATGTGTGAACATATTTCGGCACTGCAGGTAAACTTTAATATTTGCTTTGGTATAGTCCGGGTTTTAAAAATTGATTTTAAGGCCTAGAGCCTAAGCTCGGGTTTGTGTTTATATATTTTTGATCCGGCAAAAATTGTTTTTAAGTCCAAAGACATAATTTCTGCGCAGCCTTGCGGGTCTATAATTTTTAAAAATATTTTATCCAAATGCATAGGAGACAAAATTTGGTGACATTTAAAATCTACTTATTTTACCCCACTCGTTCACCCCCTAACCCCGGCCTTATGGCAATGCACTTTTTGACATGTTATGTGCATAAAACTATTTAAACATTATATTTAAATATATAATATAGCATATCCGCTGCATAAAGAAC